TGAACCTCAGGCATCAGCCTGAGTTACCAGCATCATCGCATCGAGGTCCCCGTGTAGTCTGGAGGGAGGAACTCTGGGAAACCGTAATTTAAAGCATTTCTGTTCCTAGCAGGACATTGTCCTCTGACCTGCATTAAGGGAAACTGAGCCATGTGCTTGCTGGAGTGGTGCCCGCGAGAGGAACCCCGAGGGTGGGGCAGACAGGGTTTGTCACTCCCGCATCACCCTTCTGGGATGCTCTGGGGCAGGCGTCCCCGCTCGCTTGGGTGATGGGGGTGATGGTGGCACTTGATGGCTCATGTCGCAGAACTGACAAGGACTAGGTGGGAAAGAGGGTTTTTTGTCGAGTAAGAAAGAGTATTTTGGAGGGGGAAATGACAACAGTGAGGAATTTTGCTGAGCAGAAGAGTGCCGATCCAAAGTTTTGATTGAAATGAAATGATTTGATGTGTCAAAACCCTGTTCTTCCTTTTGAGTTGGTGTTTTGAAATGAAAAGTGTTGTTTTGTCTCCAAATATCGACATGAAATTAAATTTTTCACTTATTCTCCCAATCAGGAAGACAAAGGGGTGAAAAAAAGGAAAATTAAAATTGATGTTTTAACACAACAAGGCTTTTATTCAGAGGAAGCCATCTTTTCTAATGGGAAAGCATTGCACTGTAAAAATATTCATTTCTGATAAGAAATGTGGTCGGGGCTGACCAGAGCTGGGCTGAGAACGGCAGTGTGGGGATGAAAGCATCCCAGCCCAATCCCTGCTGGGTCCTGCGTGGCCAGATGTGGCCAGAAATACACCTTCAAATGTCTGAAGAGGAGAGGGAATATTTCAGGCTGTGTCTGGAGCAGGGCAGAGCCAGGTTTCTGCTATTTGCTTCCCTGTCTGAAATCAAGCCCCCAAAAGCCAGGCGGGTTTGCTGCTGGTGGAGCTCAGGGTTGTGGCTTTGTTTGCTTTCTGTGCCATACCCGAAGCACATGTTGCTGCGACTTGGGTGGGAACTGAGCTGCTTGTTAGCTGAAATTGAAAATTGTAATTTGTGTGTGTGTTTGGGAGAGAAAGAGAGTTTGTTTATGAGAGGGAAGTGCCTGTATGTGCCTGCACATGCGTGGGAGAGAGTCTTTGTATGGAAGTGTATGCTTTTTTTTATATAT